GCCCCGGGAGGCACGTGGACCGGACCCAAACGGAGCCGAGAAGCTGTCCTCTTCCCTTCCCGGCCAAGCCCAGCCGTCGAAACCACCAGAATCCACCGGATTTTGCAAAAACCCGATCGGTTTCGGGAGAAACTTTCAGGCGCTCGTTCTCCGTCATCCGGCCACCATTTCCGATGAGTGAGGTATGGTTTCTCACCTATTTCTTGAGCTCTAGCTGCCTGTTGGATAGGAATTGGTTGATTTCACGTGTAGGAGAATGATTTCGAAACCTAGGTTTTGACAGATTTTCGGGCTACTTTTTCGGCCATTTCCGGCCACTTTTTGGGGTAGGTCCAAGAACAAAAGTGGCTCCAAATGGGGTGTTATACTTAGGATAGGAGTCTTGAGCCTAGATGTTGAGCTTTTCCGGCGATGCGTTATCGCTTTAGGCACCACGCGCTGCCAGCGCGTGTGGTGGCGCGTGGGCAGTAGGGTGGGGACCACAGTCAGTCCTAGAATGATCTCCTGGTCCTCACGAGCGCATAGGATTTCGCAGAACTTAATTCGGATATTGTTTGAACCTCGAACGGATCTCGCCTAGTATGCGATTTTCGGGTTCGGTAAGTTTGAACCGTTGGATCGTCGTCTTTTTCCAGTATGTTAATCTAGGTATTTCCAGGATCGTATAAGATTTGATGGATCGTAAAACGGAGTCCCGGTTACTCCAGAAATGTCAGCCTTAGAATATGTTCTACGGATAAGTAAACCAGTTACAATTAAACAACCAATTACAGGTCCAGAGGAGAGAACTACGTGTGCCTTGATCCCTCAGTAAGGGTACGTAGGCAGCCTACAGTTACCAGGCGCAGCCACGAGTTAGGCCCCTAGAGTTTGTGTTACTGTTTTTCAGGGTATTTTGGTCTTTTACGACCCACAGTTACCAGGTGTCAGTTTTAAACAGGTTTCGACCCGCTTTTCAAAGTGTAAATTGGGTCAGGTTGTTTCAATGCATGCCTCTGCTACTTTCAGTGTCAAGAATGCCTACAATTTCGCAGGGCATGTATATCATTGGAAGAAAAAATGTAAGGGGAAATGTCTAATATAATCACTTTTTGTTTCTTTATGCAGTTTTGTGTTGACAATTTCTGTGTCTTTCCCCTTTTCTTTTCAGATTGCACAAGGAAAAGAGAAGAAGCGCCCAACTTGTTTATTGAATTTTTATTGCTTTTGTATTGCTTGTCTATTGTCACTTTATTGCTTTTTTATTGCTTTCGTATTGCTTTCGTATTTCATGTCTGTTACCACTTCATAATCTACGTGACATTAAAATGGAGTGAAGCCTTGATTTTGGGTTGGTTTTCTTAATTAATATAATTTGTTGCAGGGAAAGCAACTATGAGTTTGATTTATAAAAAAAAAATAATGGAATCACATTCTTACACCAATAGCTGAATACGAATCAATCATATTGAAGAGATACATATATGGTGCTTGTTGTACCTTATTTATATGATAATGAATAATGATCTAGCATTTTCTGTTACAAAAAAAACCTTATACAATCAAGCGTTTTCTTTTACAAAATATCCTTATAAGTTCATTCACAAGATATACTTGGAAAAACAGGCAATAAGAAACAAATATAAGTACAATAATCAAGCAATACAACAACACATAATGGCAATACAATACAATACAAATGCAATAAGGGGCAATATAATGGCAATACAAAAACTCCACATTCCCACTATATATTCATAATCTACAACATATTACAAAAAGGACGTGGCGTCCTTAATGGAATCACATTTTACACTCCTATATCGTCAAAATACCCTCGAGCAAGGAATGGGCGGAGAGGCTTTTGTAAAAGTTGAGGTATAATGATCTTCCTCTATTCAAAAAATAACAATCATATCTGTTTTTGCATAATGATTTTTATTTTGGGTCATTTGAGCATAGAACCCTTCATGATTTGAGTAGAGTTCTGATAATTCCTTGTGATATCTGAGACCACAATTGAACTTCATAATTTAACCCAAAATTTTCATAGAAGTGAAAGACATATACCCTGACAGTGACATAACCAGTTGTTATCAGACCAATTACAGTTGCCAGGAAGAAAATATGATAGGGTACATCCACTATTGGTGAAGCAAGATTAATAAACGTGTTTGGCAAGACGGGAGTCAATCGCAGAAACAACATGTAGTTCAAAAGTCCCTATCTTCTTTTAGCCTCCTAGAAGAAAAAATAAATGACTCACTCCTATTTTTGAAGTTAGTATCAATGAGAGATATGGAGACATTTGAATTTACCTGGTTTTGGAAAAACTACAGCTTGTCAGGCCAAAGAGAGAAGACAATGTGCCTCCCTATCAACTTTGACAAGAAATAACAAAAAGATGCACTAGCAATGGCATTGAAAACCACCAAAGCTACACCTTTGAAACCCCAAACGGGAACCAGCAAGCAAGGACATGAATACAGTACTAGTGATCATGAAAGTCTGCATAAATATATAAACCATGCAGTACCCCAACAGAACCTGAGCAGTGTAGTCACTTGTGTAGTCCTCAAGGTGAACTCTACCCAGAAGAAGACAATGAAACAATAAATAAATAAAACTGACAAAATACTATGAAACTAATATTCCACAATCTCTCTTTAAATGAAGAACATACGACAAGGACAAAACACAATACATCATTCGTTAAACTAGGGGAGTAGATTAGCTATAACAAACTACGTTTATATGAAACCTACTTGTTTGATTGCCAGAGTTTACTTTTTAGCTTACATTCTTTGTTCTTAACTCCTACTTTAACTATACTAAGTCAAGGAAACAACAATCTCATTCCAAATTTCCTATGTTGCCTTTCATACTAAGGAGACTATATATTAATATTTAAGGTGTAACACACACAAAAGTTAGAACCAGAGATTGGTAAGCAAGAAAAACAATATTTTACTTTCACAATCTTCATCCCAGTTCCCGCCCATATAATGAAACCATTGTATAGTAAAATAAGAACCATAACCCACAACAACGATGAGCTTATAGCATATTACCAGGCAAACTAGCAAAGAATTTATAATGATCATGCACTTTCATCGAACAAGAGTTCAATGAACTCAGGAGCTTTCTACTAAACAGTTCCTAAAATTAGGTGTTCTAGTTCAAGTTCATGATACTCACACACTCGATTTTCGTTCAATTTCGAGTACAATTAAGAGCATGCTCTCACATTCCAAAAGTTTTCTACCATTCTATGAAACCCTCCACAAACCACAATTCATAGTCCATTCTAATTCAGTCCATTCTTATATGCGAATAAGATTTGTAAATTGATCATTTGGGAATGAAAGTTGGGCTTGGGGCAAAGTGATCATCTACGTGTATTTCCCAAAAAGAAACCCTCAATCGTACTCAATATCAATATTAAACAAATCTAGTTTTGTTCTGTCATGTTAGAAC